AAACAGCTAGATGAAGAATATTTCAACAGTCACAATTTTGAATTTTTTGACATGCTGAAAAATCTGGGTTTGGATGATTTTGTTTGTGATGTTGCACCCTATTATCCTGATTTAGTACGTATCTTTTATAGCAACCTCAAATTTTCTGATAATGGAACCATGAAAGACTGAGGTAAAAAATGTGAAAATGATTATCAAACCCATCTTATTAGCTACCATAGCCAACCTGCCCTCTCTTGGCTTGAAATTTGAAGGTAAATTAGTTGAGGAATGGAAGGATCAATACAATATGTAGCAAGAGACTTGATTTGTTTTCCTTACAAACCTCGTATGAGTAGAATTCTAATCGGCTCTATGAAAGCTGAGGCTAGAATATTACATTATGTTATATGTTGTGTTTTGTTTCCACGTGTTTCTAACTTTGCACAGGTTACCGAAGAAGATATACTGTTAATGTGGATTATAATGACGACAAAGCAGATAAACTGGAGCCATCTCATTCGACATAGGATGAAGAAGGCTTTGAGGCCAGATGCTCCTTTACCATATCCATTTTTGGTCACCCGGATCCTACAAAATTTTCAAATTGAATTGGATGATGAAATATATGCCCCACGTAATAGGCATTTCACAATATCAAGACAAGTGATAGAATCCTTTGGATTGACCAAAAACGCTGACAACAGATGGGTTCACAAAAATTCTCCTCATCCTCCTCCTCAACGCCATAATCAAGCATCTCCTCAACAACAACAACCACCACCACCCCGTCTTCAACAACAAACTACTTCATTTGATGACGTCATGAAGGGGATCAATGATCTCCGAACATTTGTTGGGGACAACTTCAATACTATAAACGAAAGCATTAATGCAAGATTTCAACAACTGGAGCTGAACATGGGTGCCCGCTTAGATACAATTGATGCTCGAGTTGAGCTTGTAGAGCACGACATTGACTATCTGCATCGTCATTTTGGTCTACATGGTGGATCATCTTCCTAGATACATTTCAATTTTATTGTACTTTCGATTTTTTATTTTTAGCTTTTTGCTTTTGTAATGCAATTTGAATTCAATAAAATAGTTCAAATTTCATTTATGAGTTTGCCTTATTCTTTTACTTTGTTGTATTTACATTAAAAACATTACTCTTCCTACACATAACAATACATCACAATGTCATCAATAACCATGTGTGCTTACAAATATAAAAATAATTAGGCATAAACAACCTCTAATGATGCTTTACAACAAAATAAAAATGTCATTCAACACTCAAACACTCTAGTAATCGATTACAACAAGGTTGTAATCGCTTACCAAGTTTTTGCCCACTGAACACTCTAGTAATCGATTACAACCTTGTTGTAATCGATTACTAGGAAGTTTATCCATATTGAACCTCCTGGTAATCGATTACAAGAAGGGTGTAATCGATTACCACTGTCAATTTTGCCTACAAAGGTGAAGTCGTGCAAGGGACACGACTTCAGCACGTTGTAATCTATTACAGTGCTTGGTAATTGATTACAACACCATGAAGTCATTTTTGGGGTGCACGACTTCAACACTGGTCAGATGAACAATGTGAAGTCGTGCAAGGGGGCACAACTTCTTCATTAGAAGTCGTTTGGGCCCCCCACGACTTTTCTTTCGGTCAAAATTTGTCCATTTTCGTAATATGGCACACAAATTTGCCTAGTTTAGTACAAAAGCCAATTTATTAAGATTTTGGTCTTTGTTTCTGTTCTCGTTTTTCAAGAACTTTGAAAAAAATTTGGCAAGCAAACCTAGATTTTTACTATTTGAATTTTATTTCAAGTTCTTTTAGTCGACTTTTAAGGTAATTACTTTTTTGTTCTTGTTACCTTCTTCTTCCTTTTTTTAGGTTTTTTAATAAAAATAAATTGTCATATGAGTCGTCAAAGACAATTTTTCATCGTCAAAATTAGTTCAAAATTTTGAAGATTTTTTTATTTAATTCTTGCTCAAATATAACATAAGGCAATCACATGTGAATTTTTTATGGCGATGATTTTACCCTGTTATATTATGAACATATGATATGTTAATTCTTTGCTTTTTTCATATGATATGTTAATTCTTTGCTTTTTTTTTTCTCTTCTTATTATGTATCCTTATGGGTAACCTCCAAGACTTCTCATGCCTCTTTTATATGTAAAACTCATCGTGACAACAACCACTATGATGTTTCTTACCTTTACATCCTATTAATTTTTTAATTGACCAAAGAGAAACATCTTTCTCTTGTGCATATTGTTAATTACATAATAGAAATATGTGGTTCATTTATAACAACATCTTCTATCAATAAATTCTAAAATAAAATTTCTAATCTTAATTTTCAAAAACATTAGTTTTCATCTACAAGAAAGATGGGATAATGTTTATAATAACACCTAAAAGTTTGGTTTTGTGAAACCATTCTAAAAATATTTTTCAAAATCATTGTTTTTAAAATCTTTAAAAAATCAGCTCTAAAAACAAATGTTAGAAAAAACATGAAGGTAAGCTAAACCAAGAAAGATGAATTGATTTTGAAATCTTTTTGAAAAGATCGGCTCTTTCTTTAAGTGTTTTAAAAAACTATTCTAATCAAAACAATTGAATATGAATCAAGATTTATAAAAATTAGCAACAACAAAATAAACAAGAAAAAGAAAGAAAAAGATCCTACAAGAATTTATATTTGGTTCATATACCAAGAGACCTAGTCTCAACTATTCAACCTTAAATAATTAGAATCTACTATTTTTATATGTTTAATATAAGTATTCAACAAAAGCAAAACATATACAAGATTAGAAACAACTTTACAATATCAACTCTTGAGTACAATCAAGAGGATATATTCTATAATTGAGTCACACCAAGAGAAAACTATTAACTTTTTGGCAAGTGTACCAATTTGTTATAAGTAGTATATGAATGTTTCAAGTATTATTTCTTACAAGATTTGTGTTTGATTGTCTAATAATGTTTAATTATCAACTTCAACTTGGGTAACAATGATGATTAAATTCATTAGTAAGGAAACATATTGTGACAACACTGAAGTTTAGAAAATTTGATTAAGACAAAGATGAAGCTTCATTAGAATTGGGTTTAATGAATCACTTATAATAAAACTCTATACAACATATCACTATTTCATTCAAACATTCATCAAGGTATACTAGTTATAATTCCTTAAGAACAAGTTCTAAATATATATGCTAAATTACTAATTCCTTATTCCATTCAACATACAATTTGTAGTAGATTCAAATGTATATAAATGACCAAGAAGAATTGATACCATTCCTAAAACCAATTCTTTTAGGTGTTCTATATATGTTCATGTTTAAAGTTACTTTCCAGTAACCAGACACATTAAAATTGCATTATATTTCCATATAACGACCTTAAATTTAAGACAGAGCATATGAACAAATAAATATTTTATTGCACAAGAATTTTACATCAAAATGAGTTCACTGCATCCAATCCTAATGAAAAATTAAATTAGCTACTCCTAGTCATCTAGAACATACAAGTTTGATGAAATTTGATGGAAGAATGACATCTTGATGCCACAAAGTAACCTTTGACAATTTCCTTAAGTTTTCTCGTGTTTCCACAATAAGACTCCCACTATTTCTTTATTTATTGACTAAATAACAACTCCCAAAATTACACAACTCGCTGAGCGAGTACGTATGATTCGCTAGGCAAGAACTCAACTATTGCACTGTTAATTGATCCCACTCGTTAAGCGAGCCACTCTACTCGACGAGCAAGTGTCCTTCTTCTTAGCTGAGTGAACCAGTGGCTGAGTGAGAAGATCCTGACAGATTCTTAATGATGTTATATTTTCCTATGCATTGACCTAACATAAACTTACCTAACAACATAACAAAAGAAGAAAATATTATATCTTACACTAGTGCAGTTGAGGGAAACGACAGCGGTTATTTTCAGTTATAGACAGCGGTTCCGCAACCGAGACATATACAAACAAGGCAAAAAGAGATAGGCTTTTTGCCTCGATTGTGAACTGAGGCAAAAAGGGGTACGATTTTGCCTCGACTCATGAATAGCCGAAGCAGTACAATTTTTCCTTTTTATATATTTTTTTTCTCGAAGGACTTTTCGCCTCGGTTCCTACTGAACCGAGGCAGTATCTCTTCCTTTGATTTAAGGTAAATTCCCATTATAGATATCATTATTTAAGGTGAACGTTCGCATATTAGGTTCTCAACTATTCTACAATCGAATTGATTGAATTAAAATAAAAGCAATAGTTTGAATTGTATGAAAAAAAGTGTGCAAATAATGATTACTAACTATTTCATTTTAGAATAAAAGAACTATACAACATAAAAAAAAACTATTTCAACATGAATTTTGCCGAAATCAAATCCTTTCAAAATGAACATTGGATATACTTCCAAAAATCATTAAAAACTTCAATATTGTATTTAAAACACCAAAAGTACTTGTTTCCTATAATATTTAGTAAGTTGAATAGAAGAAAATGTTCAACCTCCGCGTGCCAAGCATAAAATAGAATGTCACCAAATACCTATAACGATGAAAAAATGCTTCCAAACCAAAGGCCTATGGCAAAATGCATGCCAATTCTCGAGCTCATTAGTTTTCCATCCCAAAACCTTTGACATGATTTTGGAAAAAGGAGTTGTTTCTGAGACTTCAGTCTTGATTAATAATTTTTTTACGAAAGCAATTTTTTTCACTCATCACAAGGAAATGACAATAAATTATTAATGCCAGCACACGAAAAAGAAAACTCTTTGAAACAAACATATTGGTTTCAAGCACTTAAAGTTAATTCAAATCCAAAAATCCCTTTACAACATCAATTACATCTCAGAGTAAATAACAGTAACAAAATATATCAAACAAACAGGCCAAAAATATCGAATCAAGACGTTCCAAAGAAACAAATTCCCTTTGGGAATTTGATCGAATAGTTGATGGGCATTCCAAATAGAGTTACAAATGCTATAAAAATTTACCAATTTGGTGGCCAAATCTTGATTGTAAAGCAACACCCAGGTCCTAAAGCCTTGACAGAGATACAAGACTCAAGCCTCCGCCGCCATGGACGATCCACCGTACGTTGTAGAAGATCCCCGAAATTTACCAATTGCAGAAGATCGCGATTTTCGGCACCACACTTGCCTCCCTCATCCAGCGCTTCTCCACTTCCCCCTCCACCATCCACGGCCTCCTCTTCGGCCACGTCACCCACCTTCCCACCACACCCTCCGACGACTCTTCCTATGTCGTCCCAACCCTCCTCGCCACCGTCACCGACTTCCTCTACTCCCCCTCCTTCCATGAATCCTTCGATACTGTCATCCCCTATGCCCTCCACCCTCACTCCTCCATCCTTGCGTGGTTATCCGCTCGTCTTAGATCTGCCCTCCGCCCCTCCATGCGCGAGTTCTCCGTCACCTCCTCCCTTTTGTCTCTCTCTCAATTCTCTGTCTCAATCAATAACTCAAACCCAAACCTAAAGTCAAATTCCCCTGAACAACCTTCTCTCTTCCCTCCTTGTGTCTTCCTCCTCCTAGCTTCCCCTCTCTTCCACAACACGCCCTTCTCGCACGTGCACACGCACGAGTACCACGCCTTCCAGTTCTTTACCGAGGCCCGGTGGTTCGAGCCCCGTTCCCTCGACATCGTCAACATCGATCCTGCCTTCCGCGGCCACTACGGTGCTTTCAGCCCGACCTCGAGCCTCTCACACTCGACTGAGAGGGGTGGATGGATTTGCATAAGGGTTTTATGCTTCGATTTCATAAATAACCAAGACAGTAGAGAGTATAGGCTTCGGTTTCCATTGAACCGAGGCATATAAGTTCGCCTTAATTACAAAAATGCTGTCGCGTTTTAATATGCTTCGGTTTTGTGAAAATCGAGACATATTAAGCGCGTTAAAAGACTATTTTTTTCCTAGTGTTAATATGAGGAAAACACATAACTCATGAATAAATACAAATTTGAAAGTATTAATAAGTATGAATAATAAGTATTTTTCACACTATCATAAACTAATGAATACAACTCTTGAACATTCAAGAAAAAATAATTGAAAATACTCTAGCAACTAAAAAAATATAAATATGTTACTAGATACATAACAAAAGAAACATAAAGTAATTCAACAAAACATCACAATCTTTTAAAATATTTTTTGAACAATCTTAAAGCACTCTTTTAACAAATGAAAGTAGCTAAAAACAATATCAAATAAAGGTTGTAATATTGCTTTTAAAAGTATATAAGATAAAAGAGTGAACCAAATATTCTATTTATATAGTTATGAAAATTAAAAAATAGTTTCAAACACATTTAATGGATGGTCCGATAGTGGTCCGACAACGGGTGGAAACATAAATGCCCACTTAGAACTCGCTAGGATAGGCTATAACTATGGCTCTGATACCATATTAGAAAGTGGGTTTAAGCCTAACTTACTTATATATTATAATTTGACCTTATCTCTAGTCGATGTGGGACTTCCAACACACCCCCTTCACATCGAAGTATAGACATCTCGTGTGTAATAGTAGAAATTGGGTGGTCTGATAACTGCCCGATAGCGTGTGGAATAGAAGAATAGAATTCCCACATAGAACTCGCTAGGATAGGCTCTAACGATACTCTGATACCATATTAAGAGAGGTGAGTTTTTAAGTCATACTTAAATCCACTTTTTAATATGGTATTAAAATATATTGTAACAAATTTTTGAATTCATTATTAAATAACTATAAAATCATCCATAAATTCTTTATATATCATGAGAAAAACGTTAAAAGTTAGACTTAAAATAAGTTCAATTTAAAACATATAAATAAAAGATAATCTTTAGTTAATATAGATCAAAGTGCCAAATTTTGAAATGATGAGTCAAATCTTGATAAATTATTGAGTATGGTGTAAATTCAGAAAGTGGATGGAAGCTTTTGTCTTTGTACTTGAACTTCGGCTATTCCATGCATATTGTAATGAAGTAATTTAATTCAAATGCACAAAACGGCAAACTGTACGGTGCCCAAAGCCACTTGTTCTTCGTCCTCAGAATATTTCATAGCCGAATTGTATCACTAAGTTTTCTTCAAGTTAGTCTTAATTTTTTCCACTAAATAAAACTCAACAATGATGTGTGCCATTATAGTATTTGATTAGGCCGCAGGGATCTTTATTGTTTGTCTATTGCGTTGAATCGACCTATTTTGAGATCTTAGATGAGTTTCATTTTTGGCCAACATTTGCAATATTCTCTACATTGTTTAATTTTGTTACCACTTTCATGCTCCTAAGTCAAACTAGTTCACCATTAAATACTCATGCAGTTCTAGAAACTTAAATTGCATCCCTTGTGTCAATTTCAATGGGAGAATCTACTATGACCCAGATGAATCGAAGACAAGAATACGATGTCAGACAAATTTGGTTTTGGATTTTCAGGGATTCAAGAACTGAGAAACTCACTCCATTGGAGATTATGCTTCGGTCATTTTTAACCAAACTCGTTGAAAAGTCAAAGTGGTGTTTGGATTTTATGGAACGTGACGTGGAAGTGGATTGAAAGGTCAAACCCAAGTTTGATTGAGAGACATACCATCCAATCTAATATATAATTTGCAAGAAAAAAAACAAATTAAAAGAATGTACGGACAATGAAATTTTTCATAAGGGTTTAATAGGAATCCCCTTTAAATAAATGCGAGAAATACAAGATTTTCAAGATAAACGCCCATTCATCGTATATCTCAATTTTAATATAATACAAATTTAGTGTAAAATTTTTAATTTTATTAATTTTATGTGAATTCTAATAATGATTGAGGTAATTAAACAATTGTTTGATCTTTAATAAGTATTACGTATGTTTATTATAAAAAATAAAATTAAAATGCACAATTATTAAAGATAAAAAAATGTGCTCAATTATATTAATTTTAACAAACTTGAAACAAAACTAATAAAATTAAAGTTATGTATTAAAAANTTGAGCGAGTACGTATGATTCGCTAGGCAAGAACTCAATTATTGCACTGTTAATTGATCCCACTCGTTAAGCGAGCCACTCTACTCGACGAGCAAGTGTCCTTCTTCTTAACTGAGTGAACCAGTGGCTGAGTGAGAAGATCTTGACGGATTCTTAATGATGCTTCATTTTCCTGTGCATTGACCTAACATAAACTTACCTAACAACATAACAAAAGAAGAAAATATTATATCTTACACTAGTGCAGTTGAGGGAAACGACAGCGGTTATTTTCAGTTATAGACAGCGGTTCCGCAACCGAGACATATACAAACAAGGCAAAAAGAGATAGGCTTTTTGCCTCGATTGTGAACTGAGGCAAAAAGGGGTACGATTTTGCCTCGACTCATGAATAGCCGAAGCAGTACAATTTTTCCTTTTTATATATTTTTTTTCTCGAAGGACTTTTCGCCTCGGTTCCTACTGAACCGAGGCAGTATCTCTTCCTTTGATTTAAGGTAAATTCCCATTATAGATATCATTATTTAAGGTGAACGTTCGCATATTAGGTTCTCAACTATTCTACAATCGAATTGATTGAATTAAAATAAAAGCAATAGTTTGAATTGTATGAAAAAAAGTGTGCAAATAATGATTACTAACTATTTCATTTTAGAATAAAAGAACTATACAACATAAAAAAAAACTATTTCAACATGAATTTTGCCGAAATCAAATCCTTTCAAAATGAACATTGGATATACTTCCAAAAATCATTAAAAACTTCAATATTGTATTTAAAACACCAAAAGTACTTGTTTCCTATAATATTTAGTAAGTTGAATAGAAGAAAATGTTCAACCTCCGCGTGCCAAGCATAAAATAGAATGTCACCAAATACCTATAACGATGAAAAAATGCTTCCAAACCAAAGGCCTATGGCAAAATGCATGCCAATTCTCGAGCTCATTAGTTTTCCATCCCAAAACCTTTGACATGATTTTGGAAAAAGGAGTTGTTTCTGAGACTTCAGTCTTGATTAATAATTTTTTTACGAAAGCAATTTTTTTCACTCATCACAAGGAAATGACAATAAATTATTAATGCCAGCACACGAAAAAGAAAACTCTTTGAAACAAACATATTGGTTTCAAGCACTTAAAGTTAATTCAAATCCAAAAATCCCTTTACAACATCAATTACATCTCAGAGTAAATAACAGTAACAAAAAATATTAAACAAACAGGCCAAAAATACCGAATCAAGACGTTCCAAAGAAACAAATTCCCTTTGGGAATTTGATCGAATAGTTGATGGGCATTCCAAATAAAGTTACAAATGCTGTAAAAATTTACCAGTTTGGTGGCCAAATCTTGATTATGAAGCAATACCCAGGTCCTAAAGCCTTGACAGAGATACAAGACTCAAGCCTCCACCGCCATGGACGATCCACCGTACATTGTAGAAGATCCCCGAAATTTACCAATTACAGAAGAATGCAATTTCCGGCGCCACACTTGCCTCCCTCATCCATCGCTTCTCCACTTCCCCCTCCACCATCCACAGCCTCCTTTTCGGCCACGTCACCCACCTTCCCACCACACCCTCCGACGACTCTTCCTCTGTCGTCCCCACCCTCCTCGCCACCGTCACCGACTTCCTCTACTCCCCCTCTTTCCATGAATCCTTCGGCGCTGTCATCCCCTATGCCCTCCACCCTCGCTCCTCCGTCCTTGCGTGGTTCTCCGCTCATCTCAGATCTGCCCTCCGCCCCTCCATGCGCGAGTATGCGTGAGTTCTCCGTCACCTCCTCCCTCTCGTCTCTCTCTCAATTCTCTACCTCAATCGATAACTCAAACCCAAACCTAAAGTCAAATTCCCCTGAACAACCTTATCTCTTCCCTCCCTGTGTCTTCCTCCTGCTAGCTTCCCCTTCCTTCGACAACGCGCCCTTCTCGCACGTGCACACGCACGAGTACCGCGCCTTCCAGTTCCGCACCGGGGCCCAGTGGTTCGAGCCCCGTTCCCTCGACGTCGTCAACATCGGCCCTGCCTTCCGCGGCCACTATGGTGCTTTCAGCCCGACCTCGAGCCTCTCACACTCGACTGAGAGGGGTGGATGGATTTGTAGAGGGGTTTTATGCTTCGGTTTGATAAATAACCAAGATAGTAGAGAGTATAGGCTTTGGTTTCCATTGAACCGAGACATATAAGTTCGCCTTAATTACAAAAATGTTATCGCGTTTTAATATGCTTCGGTTTTGTGAAAACCGAGGCATATTAAGCGCGTTAAAAGACTATTTTTTTACTAGTGTTAATATGAGGAAAACACATAACTCATGAATAAATACAAATTTGAAAGTATTAATAAGTATGAATAATAAGTATTTTTCACACTATCATAAACTAACGAATACAACTCTTGAACATTCAAGAAAAAATAATTGAAAATACTCTAGCAACTAAAAAAATATAAATATGTTACTAGATACATAACAAAAGAAACATAAAGTAATTCAACAAAACATCACAATCTTTTAAAATATTTTTTGAACAATCTTAAAGCACTCTTTTAACAAATGAAAGTAGCTAAAAACAATATCAAATAAAGGTTGTAATATTGCTTTTAAAAGTATATAAGATAAAAGAGTGAACCAAATATTCTATTTATATAGTTATGAAAATTAAAAAATAGTTTCAAACACATTTAATGGATGGTCCGATAGTGGTCCGACAACGGGTGGAAACATAAATGCCCACTTAGAACTCGCTAGGATAGGCTATAACTATGGCTCTGATACCATATTAGAAAGTGGGTTTAAGCCTAACTTACTTATATATTATAATTTGACCTTATCTCTAGTCGATGTGGGACTTCCAACACACCCCCTTCACATCGAAGTATAGACATCTCGTGTGTAATAGTAGAAATTGGGTGGTCTGATAACTGCCCGATAGCGTGTGGAATAGAAGAATAGAATTCCCACATAGAACTCGCTAGGATAGGCTCTAACGATACTCTGATACCATATTAAGAGAGGTGAGTTTTTAAGTCATACTTAAATCCACTTTTTAATATGGTATTAAAATATATTGTAACAAATTTTTGAATTCATTATTAAATAACTATAAAATCATCCATAAATTCTTTATATATCATGAGAAAAACGTTAAAAGTTAGACTTAAAATAAGTTCAATTTAAAACATATAAATAAAAGATAATCTTTAGTTAATATAGATCAAAGTGCCAAATTTTGAAATGATGAGTCAAATCTTGATAAATTATTGAGTATGGTGTAAATTCAGAAAGTGGATGGAAGCTTTTGTCTTTGTACTTGAACTTCGGCTATTCCATGCATATTGTAATGAAGTAATTTAATTCAAATGCACAAAACGGCAAACTGTACGGTGCCCAAAGCCACTTGTTCTTCGTCCTCAGAATATTTCATAGCCGAATTGTATCACTAAGTTTTCTTCAAGTTAGTCTTAATTTTTTCCACTAAATAAAACTCAACAATGATGTGTGCCATTATAGTATTTGATTAGGCCGCAGGGATCTTTATTGTTTGTCTATTGCGTTGAATCGACCTATTTTGAGATCTTAGATGAGTTTCATTTTTGGCCAACATTTGCAATATTCTCTACATTGTTTAATTTTGTTACCACTTTCATGCTCCTAAGTCAAACTAGTTCACCATTAAATACTCATGCAGTTCTAGAAACTTAAATTGCATCCCTTGTGTCAATTTCAATGGGAGAATCTACTATGACCCAGATGAATCGAAGACAAGAATACGATGTCAGACAAATTTGGTTTTGGATTTTCAGGGATTCAAGAACTGAGAAACTCACTCCATTGGAGATTATGCTTCGGTCATTTTTAACCAAACTCGTTGAAAAGTCAAAGTGGTGTTTGGATTTTATGGAACGTGACGTGGAAGTGGATTGAAAGGTCAAACCCAAGTTTGATTGAGAGACATACCATCCAATCTAATATATAATTTGCAAGAAAAAAAACAAATTAAAAGAATGTACGGACAATGAAATTTTTCATAAGGGTTTAATAGGAATCCCCTTTAAATAAATGCGAGAAATACAAGATTTTCAAGATAAACGCCCATTCATCGTATATCTCAATTTTAATATAATACAAATTTAGTGTAAAATTTTTAATTTTATTAATTTTATGTGAATTCTAATAATGATTGAGGTAATTAAACAATTGTTTGATCTTTAATAAGTATTACGTATGTTTATTATAAAAAATAAAATTAAAATGCACAATTATTAAAGATAAAAAAATGTGCTCAATTATATTAATTTTAACAAACTTGAAACAAAACTAATAAAATTAAAGTTATGTATTAAAAATCAAATATAATAATACTTATCTTATTGAATCAATTATTTATCCATTGAAAATATATAAGTATTTGCGTTAAATATGTTAAATATTGCTATTAGTATAAATATATTTAAACAAATCTTTTAATCCACTACTTCTAATATAATCCAGTTATACTTTTGACTAATTTAGTTAAATTAAGCTGATTTTTATTTGACATTTTAATTATATTTATACTTTTAATTTGATTAAGAACAAGTGCAAGAGTTTCAAATTCACTCAATTATATAACAAAACATTGTTTGTTTAATATAGTTAATTCTATTAATGTTGTTTTATAAATATTATGAGAAAATATTACAAGAAAATATTTTATGACACGTGCTTTCTTAAAATCACATTCATTTCAATTGGTTGAAAAACATATTTATGATTTCTATTTTAACATCCGAGTAATTTAAGAATCATTGTTTGTTATAAATATTTCTATTAGTCTTTAAGAATTAACAAATGTGAAAATATTAATATAAATTTACTTTTATTGTTTAAAGTTAAAATAGTAACAATATTTTATTTTCAATTACTCAATTGGATTATCCCACTCTCTAATGCCCTGCTCCGATTCCTCTTTTCCTCTCTCTCCCTCTTATATATTTTTTTTATTATTTTTTTTAATTTTCTTCCTCCATTCATCATCTCTTTTGCAGAGAATCTAGTAGCACTTCATAATAGTTGAGTGATGAAGAACATTTATGCATGATAGAATTTTCAAACAAATTAAGTTCCTATCAATTTTAAAAAACATTTGTTCTCTTTTTTCGTATGATTTAATTGCTTACTTTTAATAGAACAAATAATTTAAATATGAACATGACTTGGTCATTAATTTTTTTTTTGTCGGGATTGTGATTAATTGAAAAATTATTTAAATATTGTTGGATTTGAAAAATGATTGTTTAAAATATTCTAAATTGAATATTGTTATTAATGAATTAATTTAGTAACTAGATTATGCATATTAATAATATGGTTTACTTAAATAGAGTTTTGAATATAGTTTAGATAAGTTGAGTAAATTTATAATTTTTTTTATGATAAATCATGAATTTGGTGTGAGTATAAATATTAAGTAACAATGGTTGATTTGAATGAATAAAAAATGATGTTTAGACATGGTTTGGATTAATATTTTGAATTGTTTAGAAATTGTATTATTAAAGTAATTTTGAAAATAACTTTGAAACTGATTGATCTTACTCGAGACTGATATTTTTATATTTGCAAGATTTTTTTATATTTGTGTTCAAGTTGAAGATTTTCGCTCAAGTAAAAATAGAACATAGATTTAAACCTTACTCATGATCCTATTTTTCTCAACTGGAAATAAAAATAATGTTACTTTTAATCATATTTTTACTTAAGTGAACATAGCACTGCAACTCAATCTTTATATCTACCTAATTTTTGCGCAAGCGAACATATTTTCACTCTAAGTAAAACAATTATTTGTTTCTTTTTTCTCTTCTATTTTATTTGGTGGATTATATTTGCATGTATATTATAAATGAAAAATAAATATTATTTTGTATATTTAACTTATTCATGTTTTTTTGTTTTAGTGAATTATGTTGTATGAAAATTATTATTGAGAAAAATAAAATTTATATAAATTTATTATCGCATATATGAGATGATATGGAAATTGTTGTTTGATTCATATATTAAGTATGGATACCTATGATCTAAGTAACATATGTAAAGATATCATATGATAATAACTCTAGGGAAGATCACGACATATGTGTGACATGACATATAATGAACTTACCATAATCAATTATTCTTGGATTTATTTGTAAATTCAAACTTTCGACGGGACAAAATGTTATTATATGGTAAAATATACTTAATATAAATATTTCGAAAGACTTTAATTGATATTGTTAAATATATTTTGTCATATAAATCTAAATGTAGTATCTGTAATTTTTGTGTGTTGTGATTAATTGAAATTGAATTGTTTATGAATATTATTAATAAAGTCGTTTTTTTATATCATTATTCCTGTGTTGTTTTATTTTAGGGTTAAATATGTTTTTAGTCCCTAAACTATTGGACATTTTTTGTTTTCGTCCCATTTTTCAAAGTAAGGTACAATTTGATCTCATTCTTTTCGAAACGTTCGTTTTAGTCCTCGGAATTTTGGTTTTAGTCCTTATTTGTTGCTAAATGAGGACCAAATTTTTAAACAGTGTTTAGTTTTCGAGAATTAAAACGAACGTTTCTAAAAGAATGAGGACTAAATTGTACCTTACTTTGAAAGAGGGACGAAAACCAGAAACGGCCAATAGTTTAGGGACTAAAAACATATTTAACACTTTATTTTATAAGATGAGATAACTATACATAAATGTTTTGTTTTATTTTATGAGATGAGATAGCTATACATAAAGTGTAGGGAAAAACGTATAAAATTTTTCTTTTATTTTAATTATTTGTATAAATATTTTTATTTATACATATATTTTGGTATATTTTTAAATTGTATTGTATAATAAGTATTATACATACTCTTTAATGGATTTATAATATAGTTAATAATTTACTTATTAGAATGCTAAAACTTATTTCTTAAATTAAGACCATTAATCTACATAGACAATTTTTTTTAATCAAAATAATAAAAGTCTATTTTTTTTTTTCACTTTGGAACAAGGGCTGTGCAGGGGTCAAAGTGGCTTCGCACTGTTAGAGAAATGAACAGTTTATATCTACTTGATTACGGGCCTTCGTTATTTCCACCTGCAAACCCATAACGAAAGTTGGCTTAGCATAAAAGACTCAGGCTATTGCTTTCTTCACCCTCA